AATTTTTGATGGGCTAAAAGAATGGGCTCCATGTGCAATTTTGATCTGATTATTTTCAATCTCACTACTTCTGCTGTGATTGGGAAAGCACTTAGCTCTGTTTAGAAAACCACCAAATTAGAAAGCCTCTGCAATACCTTGTACTGTCAAAATGGCTATTTCCACCAAATCCGCTCTTCCTTTCTTCCTTCTTTCCTTTCTGATTCCACTTGATGTTTTGAGCAAATTCATTTATTTGGTGGAACTGCAGTCACATCTCAAATCCAGTGGCAGAAAATTCTGAGAAGTACTTTTTCAATTTCTATGGTGTCGTCTGGCAAAAGGAAAGGGTACATGTTGAGAAATTTAATTTATTATGTAGTCATCCACCTCTCTATCTACCTACATCTGCAGTACCTTGCTTTGATCACACAACAGTATAACTTGGATATTTTAGCTCCACTTTAAAAAAGTGCATGTAATTCCAAACGAGTTCTTCAAGTATGCTCATCTCTACCCAGGCTTAAGAGTGGAAAAGACAGATGGTGGAATTGATTCACTGTTTGAGTTTTATACATTAAGTATAAAAATAGGGTAAGAATGCAGACAATTGAAAGGAATAGTTGATAGACTACAGTCTTTGAAGAGAAAGAATATTTAGAATACACTAATAGGAGTTTGTGATGGACAGGGAGGCCTGGCTTGCTGCGATTCATGGGGTCGCAGAGTCGGATACAACTGAACGACTGAACTGAACTGAATACTATCTGTACAGTATTAACCAATTTATTAGATAAAATTCTTACTTGCAATGAATAAAACCCATTTTAGTTATTGTAAGAAGGAAACAATGCAATAAAGTTTATTAGAAAATTCACAGAACTCACTCTGAGCCAGAAACATAACACTTAAAGGCTACTCTATCAGAACAACCCAAATTACATTGAAGAGTAGCTTTGGCTGAAACAGTATTATGTGGACTTAGTCAGAGACTCTGCAGACAGCATTGCTAACGCTGTGCAGTTTGCACTACCCTTTAAGCTTCTGTCATTTTGCTGTAGAAATCTGACTTCCTCAACAAATATACTTAATAGAACAAATTCTTGGCAACACCAGTTTCTTCACATGCCTTCTGAATTAACAATATCAATCGTGGGTCTTAGGTGCAAAAGAGTGCTTGCTTGATGAATAATAAATTAAGAAAAATCCAAGTGTCTTCTCTGATAGGACTGAAGAGAGATTCTAGGAAATTGAGAGAACTAATGAAAATGAATGTCGACATCATTGATTGTGTTTGGGAATTTAATATCTAACTGATATAGCCATTGCAGAGAAAACAAGTATTTTGAATATAGTAGTCACTAAATAAAAGTTTGCAAAATAGTTAAAGACAAGTCATACCTTTTAAATACAGTAAATATATATAATAAAAATCTAAAAATGTGCATGAATGAAAAGCAACTAGCAAATATTCCTACATTTAAAATATGGTTTAGAAGAGTTTTGTATAAGCAACACATCGCAATTTTAATAGCAATGGAAAATAAATGGCAAAATGAACTTATTAATAGCTTGTTACTGGAATTTTAGTACCTCAAGAAAAATGGTGAAGTATTTAAAAAACTATTTGAATCAGCTCCAGATTTTCCACATGTTTGATTTCCTTTGCAAGCTAGAGAATTTTAGGTTATATCATACATATATAAGTGATACAGAGTGAGATACATAGAAAATAGACCTTTTAGAATATACATTTTAGAAATTAATATATCAGATTATTATAGCTTTCATTTATAAAGTTGTAATACATAACTTTAACTTAATATGCCTTTCAAATTATTAATGCATTTTGGCAAGAACAGCAGTTCAATGCAAAACTGGAGTGACTCTCACTGATTTACTTATTCTAGTAGCAGAGATACTATAAGGTACATTTCATCATACAAATGTCTCTTTCTAAGTAAATAGAACCAACATTTTCTACAAGGATCTACTTCAAGCAACACAGAGTATAACTATCACTTTAGACCTACTGTTTTTAGAACATCTTTCATGTTGTTTCAATAGAAATTACTTACCTAATGGACTGTCATATATGCTTGCTGCTAATATAATATTTATTTTATGATAATAGTTATAAATTTTCCTAAATTTATTTTTATTTACTGTGAGATTTTTGACTGAATCATTTTTTACTTCCTAGTAACAAAGGACAAGAATTAGGAAAAAAAATTGACATGTTATCTCCTGCATCATAAAGTTTAAAGAGAGAGTTAAAGGTAAATAGAGATGAAAGGGAGTTGGCAATAGAGAATAATAAAGATGAAAGGGAGCTAGAGTGAAAAAAAATTAAGAGAACTGAAATAGGAAAGAGGGGGAAAAGTTCGATTAAAAAAAAGGAATGTAGGCGAGAAGTTATAAAACAGAAGAGAAAATAAATTGACACTGTTATAAAGTACCTATGAAAGAAATCACACAGTTTGTTGATAGAGAAGAAAAGGAATAGTTTTTCTTAAATGTTTGTAAAATAAAAGAAGTCTAATCATGTCTTTAGATGAATAACATGACATTGATCTTATAGGATGAATATGAGAATATAACTGTCACACTGAGTCACGTCAACACCAGAGATCCAACATAGTTTCTTTGATGTTTTTCAGAAAAACATGCTAGTTGCCCTCCACACCCGAGCCTCAGGGAGTCTGTGATCCCTAGCTTCCTTTTGGTAACCCATTATAAACTCCATTCATGAATATATCTAAGGCTTTCCTGAGCCTATTTATATTTTCGGACTATATAACCTTCCTGGATAATGACTTGCATATGTTTATTACCAACTGTGAAAAGTACAAAGCATAAATCCCTTTTATCTTTTACCCTACATTGGGCATCCTCAAGTCCTGGTACACTTTAATTTGGTGAAAAGAATCCATCTTTACCTTTCAAGATTTGGCAGAGTTTGAATCCATGCATTCTCATCTGTAGTTTTATAAAACTGAATATTCTAACTTTCCCCAAAATTCTGACATGGAAGCAAAGCTTTGTCACAGCTTTGCTTTCAGTTCTTTACATGATCCAAGAGAAATTATCTCCTATTTCTATGTCTCCAAGTTATGTATAAATCAAAGTCCTTGATCATCTTTAAAATTTCTTCCATCTTCTTCGCACATTAACACTCAGCTCACTCTGCCCCTAAGAGGGAAAGAAAAAGATGTGGAAAAGAGGACTACATGTAGATGACTACGTGATCTTTAGAGTTAAACCACGAGGATTAAAAATTCCATTTTCACCACTTAGCTCTATGTCCTTATGCAATTTGCTTACTTCTCCAACTTTCATTTCCTCATCAGTAAATTGGGAATACAGTTGCAGCTTCATAAGGTTGTATTATGTGTGTATGTGTATGTGTGTGTGTTTATCTTAAATCAGCATCTACCATATAATAAGCACTACATGAAAGTTAGCACACGTACACATACACACACAGAGAAAAGAGAGAGACAGAGAGAGCAACACATCTCCCTGCACTGGTCTTGTGCCCTTGTGTGGTCATCCTACATTGACTCTGGTCATGGTCTTGTGACTTGCTCTGGCCAATGAAGAATCATTCAGTTCAGTTCATTTCAGTTCAGTCACTCAGTCGTGTCCGACTCTTTGCGACACCATTAATTGCAGCACAGCAGGCTTCCCTGTCTATCACCAACTCCCGGAGTTTACTCAAACTCATGTCCATAGAGTCAGTGATGCCATCCAGCCATCTCATCCTCTGTCGTCCCCTTCTCCTCCTGCCCCCAAGCCCTCCCAGCATCAGGGTCTTTTCCAATGAGTCAACTCTTTGCATGAGGTGGCCAAAGTATTGGAGTTTCAGTTTCAGCATCAGTCCTTCCAATGAACACCAAGAATCATTAATGAAAAACAAATCTGGTTTGAAGAGTCTTTCTCCATGGGGCTTTTGGAATTCTTTGGAGACCACTATGTAAAGAACTGCAGTCCAGCCTACCTGGAAGATATGTGGAGCAAAATCTGGCCATCTCAGCTTGAGCCCAGATTCCAGTTGACTAACCACCTGACTACAACCACATGCATTTGCCCAGACGAGACCAGTCTAAGGACCACACAGCCAGTTCATAGAATCTTGATAAATAAAGTGGTTGCTCTTTAAACCAATAAATTTAGGGTGATTTCTTATATATTTACACAGATATGTACAATTGGTAACTTGATCTGATTCTTCTTCATGTGCTAGTTATGAGAGTTTATGACAGCAATTAAAAATTCACATTAAGCTAAATTTATAAACCCTAATCCCATTCTCTTTTGGAAGAAGTTCACATTGTGTGTCCAAATGTGACAAAGATATGCAATTGCATTAAACTGAACAGATCAGTGATGTCTACTATAGTGTTCTATGGGAAACAAACTTGAATATAGAGATGCCAGTGAAGGAAGCTTATTTGGGGATGTTTTTAAGGCTGCCTTCAGAAACAGATTTATGGGTGAGATGGAGGCAATATTCTTCTTTTATCCCTTTATTTACAAGCACACAAGTTGAGATATAACAACATACAATATTATATGCTTCAGGTGTACAACTTAATGATTAGATATTTGTATGTATTATATGATGATCACCACAATATGTGTAGTTAGCATACCTCTCTGATAGTTACATTTTTTTCACTATAATGAGAATTTTTAATGCAAGCTCTATTAACTTTCATATATATGATGGCATTATTGACTATAGTCACCATGCTATATATTACATATCTAAGATTTATTTAATCAAGTTTTTCTTTCATAAAATATGGGTTTTATTAGTCAACTACAGTCATAAAATGGTTGTTATAGACTTGCCTTATTTATCCCACCACACAAGAAGCAGAGATATTTGCCAGTCTAATTTTCTTCATGTGGGTCACAACTTTGGTCTGCTAATAAAACCCCCCTTTTCAGCTTCACAGGTGAGCGTGACAGAAACTGACTCTCCTTTCTCAGAGGTAGAAACCATAAGACTCAGAATGGTGCACATGGGATGGTCCAACCACAGGGAAGAAGAATGTGACAAATGTAAGCAGAGTCCAATGCTGACGCTCTGCTGATATACTGTGTCCATTGCTCTTGTAAGTGACATTTCCCAGTGATGTACATGTGTTTCTCTATCATCTCAGCTAAATGTGTGGCACAATGTGTGACTCAGATTCCAAAACTTCATGCTGCCTACGCCAATACAAGGGAGGTCATTATGGAACTTTCACATGGTGAGCCTCTGTGGATGAAAAAGTTTATCCCTGTTTCCATCATCATATGATTTTCTTAGGTAATTTTTGCTTTTTAATGATATTTTGCTGAGACCAGGTCAGGATATCCGACACATATGACTTCAATCCTTTAGGGCCTGGCTGCTTCACTCTTTTCAACCAAAGACAGACAACTGGTTTCCTAAGTTTTCTGATGGGGGGTGGAATGGCTTTGGCCATAGTGAGGGTGTGTTTATGGTCATTTATAAAATGGTCCAGGTCCTAGCTTCAGAATTTATGACTTGCAGACAGTCTTGATTTCCTGGCTGACCAGTACTTCTAAACACTCAGATGCCACATCTATGGGATACACATCTGAGAAACTCTTATTTGAATTTTGTCTTCTAGGATCTTCTAAGGACCTTCACTTTCTTAACATCACAACTGGGATAATTATAAGCAGCTATGGCTATGGAGGACAAAGGTATACCACATTGCTTTCTTGGGCTTCTCTCTAAGTTCTAAGACTGACGGCAGCTTTATGATGTTCTCATTGGACTAAATTCTGAAAAATTAGGTCTTGATAAATTCATTCAGTTGTCTCCAAAAGCCACCAAAGCATGGACTAGAAGTCAGAAATGTATCCATTTAAAATATAAAAGATAGATACAAAATTTATTTGAACATGAATGCTAAGCAACTATATATTTGAAATTAGGTAAACTAAATATCTTTAGAAATGATCAAAACAGTCTTTGAATTAAGTCCATTGCACTGAAAACAGTTGGTAGGTAGATATTAAGAGTGAATATAATCTCTTCCTCCCCTCTATGTTTCAATCCTGGGAGAAAAAAAAATTCCAATAAAATTTATCTTCACACCCATTCTTTCCTCCATGCATGTAAGAGGATATGTTTTTTGATTTAAAGAGGTCATATTAAACATACTCTAAATAATGATGACAACATAGGAGAAGCTGATTTCTTTCAAATAAATTAAGTCTGATATAAACAGTCCAGAGTTGGTATGGCATCCCCTGATGTCCTCCGGATTTTGCTTGGTGATCCTTATTATGGCCCTCATTTGATTTAAGATGGCTGCTGGAGCATCAGCCATCCCATCTGTATCATAGTTATTAGAATGAAGCAAGGGTCCAAGGTTTTTGAAGAAATTTTCTTAAGTACACAACCCTTTAATTTATAATTTGTTACCTGGAAATCAGTCACATGACCAGAGCTAACTACAAGGAACTCATCCAGTTATATGCCTAGGTCAATGGGCAGGGTCTCTGGATGATTGCTGATTCTCTATCAGACAGTAGTTCTTTATTATTATTTTTTTTTTCAAATTTTCCAAATTTTTACATTTGGAATTAGCCAGCTGGACTCAGTTTAGATGATACCAATCTTGTTGGCAACATCCAAAGCATCCTAGTCAGGAGACAGTTGAATGTATGCCTTCTTCTCTCCATCAGGCCTGATCAGAGTATTGACCTTAGCCACGTCAACGTCATTGAGCTTCTTCACAGCCAGACAGTAGTTCTTTATTATTCAGTAACTTACTAAACTAAATGAAAACTGATCTACCTCATACACACCTGGAAGAGAAGGAGCAGAAGGAATGACATAAAAATTCCATTTAGAACAAGTGTAGAGTAGAAAACACTGGCATCATTAGCCCATCAAAATGATGAAGTCTTGCTGGGCAGGAATAGTGTAGCTCCTTAAACTAGTTGTAGAACAGAGTCCTTGTTTACATTATCTGTCTCTTCTGCTCTCTGGAGAAACTCTCCTGCTATTGACCTCTCTGGTTCCTTGTTTTGTCTTCTTGGTGGGGAAAGTGGAGGTAAGGGGTAGTAGTTCTTCCTTCGCCATGAATGTCCACAGCTGTTTCTAATGTAAGAAATGAAAAGTGTCAATTTTGGAGTTTGCAAAGATTCTAAAACTCATTTTGTTCCAGCACAGGTTTAAGTATTATTAAAGTTTTAATTAAAATAAAAAGTTGCAGTCCAAGTTTGTAGTTTTCTTTTGGTTTTTCAGATCTGGTGGTTTCTAAGCCTGATTCCATCTTGAGACTACTTAAAATAATCAGTTTGTCTGGGAACACAACATACTTCATCTAATCTTTGCTGCTAGCTTGCTTTCCATTGTCTGACAGAGAACTATTAATGGAAGGCCTTTATAAAAGCACTGGAATCAGTGATTTATCTCCTGCTAAGTCTGCTGTTTCAGAGTAGACTACTAAGTGCTTCAGTTTGAGCACAGAGTAGTTGCCTTTATTTTTTTAATCTTGAAAAACCCCAAACCTAATGCATTTAAATTGTTGTTCACTGAGAAGGAACACGTCCTTAACATCTCTGCCTGTTGATAAACTGGATCTAGTCTGAGTTCATTAATCCTGAAACTGTGTTGAAATCAGCAGAAAGCAGCAGTGTAGACATCATTCTATTCCCCCCCTACCCCCCCACCCCACCCCACCACATTTTCCTTTAAGGTCATTTAGTTTGTTTTTCAGACAGCTTTCTCTCTGCTTCCCAAGAAAGGGCAAGCAGAAATTTGAACAAATGTTTTGGTCAACTGAATGATAAATGGTGTCAGTTTCCCAGCCTATGATATGGAAGGTGTTAATGCAACCAGATTAAGCCTGAGATGAAGTCATTCATGCTAAGCCTCATGTCAGGAAAGCAACACTTCTGGAAAACAAATCCTACATCAACCAATCAGTGCTTGACTACTTAGCACAAGTCACTTGACCAGGCTCTAAGATTTCTCTTGGCTCCTTATAAGGGAATTAACCATCTTTAACCAGACAGCAAATACTCAGTCTAATTTCCTTGCTGATGCTCACTCTTGTCTATAAAGATATGTCAGCTTATACACCTTTTCTGATCTACTTTCTGTCTGCTAGATTATATGTGGCCCAGTTCATGAACTGCTGAATAAAGCCAACAATATCTTCCAAGTTTACTAACATGAATTTTGTTCTTTAACAGGGACATATTTAAAGTTCTATTATTTCAATGTTTCATCTCCATGTAAAAATTCTACATATATTAGGATTGTGCCAGGCTGAAAATAATAGAGACCCAGAAAATAGTTACTTAAAAAAAAAGACAAGAATTTATCCTCTTTGATATTAAAGTAGTCTAGGGCTCATGGCCAAAACCCCAGTGCCATCATGAGTCCTGATGTCTATCTTTATTGTATATCATTCCAGTGAAAATCACTTATGCCTAAGGTCAACTGAAGGCTCAAAGGCGCTGCTTCAATTCTGATCATTATGCTTACATGACAAACCCAAAGCAGGAAATTATTAAAAGGAATTGACAAATTGGGATGCTCCCCCCTTGTTTGTTCCTCTGACTTGAATTTTCTTGCTTAATAATCCTCCTAGTTGTTCCACCTAACACTTATATACCACTGTTCAAACATAGTCATCTGGCTGACAAAGCTCCAAGAGAGTTAAAGGACAGTTGTCTTTTATTATAGGTGGCAAAGTGTCCATCTGAAAATTGGGTTTCTTCTATTAGGGAAGAAGAGAATGGTGGTTGAGATAGGCACCTCACAGAGGAAAATGAGAGAGGAAAGGAGATAAGCAGAAGGGGAGAGATTTATTTTGAAACATTCAGCACTGTATAAAGATGTTCTTTTCTTCTCTGGCTAAATGACTTGGAAATTGTTGTTGGTCTTTTTCTAGGAAATTAGTATTACTCTAGTGTGATATCCATAACACACTATAGTAGGGGCAGCCCTTTATTTGATCCAAATCAGGATACTGTAGGATTGAGGAAATACACTATTCATATGTTGAAATAAGGTATACAAACTGCAGTCCTCTAGGGTCAACCAAAGTACATGGGTATGTTTACATCACTGTTTCCTGCCATTTACCCTCTCAGTTATCTACTGCTAGGACTACTGCTACTCTGGCAAAAGAATAGTAATTACTGATATTAGTAGATCAAAGTATTTTAAAAATGTGTCTTTCTTGCTGTTTTCAACAAACTGTTGAAAAAATTTTAAAGCAAATTTAATAATTTTTGAAATAAGCTTGCTTAAGCCAAGTGTTAAAATAATTGTTCAAATTCACACTAGTAGGGATAGAGTCAAAATTTCAACCTTGGTATGTCTGATGCCAAGTTTTCCTCTTGCATCACCAGGCCACACTGGAGCATCCTTTTTTTGGATATAAAAATGTCTTTGTGATTCAGTAGTATGCTCCCTCTTCAGAATGTATATGTACAGACATAGATTAGAATATTTCCGTTTGATACTAGAGTGGCATATAAGATATCATGGACCTGTTCTGGGGACCACAGTTTACTGAGGCATGTAACATTTTCTTGGGCTTATCCTGATTTGGGAATTTTGTGGACTATTTGCTGTTATACTTTTCTTCCATAGCTATACTAGACACAACTAATCAATCTTGACATTTTCTCCCACTTGACTTACTCTTGTAAACATTTTCAACACAGCATTTCAAAGCGCCCCTTCAAGAATGGACATAAAGGAAGTGACAGCAAAATGGTGGAAGGAAAATGCCTAGCTCTCATACTCCCAAAGAAATAATGAAAAACAAGCAGAAACTGTCAGAACCAAATTTGTCAGAACTCTGGAATTACAACAGCCAGGTAAATGCTGAGTCAATGAAAAGTTAAATCCAAAATCAGAGGAAAATTTTGTGGTACTTTTGCTTGCCCTTGCTCAACCTCTCCATCAAGGTAGTGGGTAGTGGAGGTCTTGGTTTTAAAGTGCCAGCAACTTGTATTTGCAGGTGAACACACTGATTCCAGAGGAGACAAAGCAGATCTATACGCTAATTATTGTTTATCTGTTCTAACCTGTCTGGGAGCTACCAGAAAGACTGGTGCAATGCACTTATCTTGTTATTGCTTTATTGGAAGTCAAGGGGTAGGCTTTGCTCAAAAATACTGAAAGCTGAACTAACAATCCCTTATGCCTATGACAAAATATTATAGACAAAGCAAACAATAGACCACCTAATACTGAGTAGCAGAAGCAAGGAGAGTTTCCTTGGGAAATTAGATCACTCAAGATAAGAATCAATATTGGGAAATTTAAAAATTTATGCATAGTCCCAGGCCATGATACATGTTTAGAGAATACTTGAGAAAAAAAACCTAAGTTTTCACTTTGGGCTGATCCATAGACTTGTGCAAGTCTAGCTAAGTGAGGAAGAATAGCCCTAGCACAGAACCAATATACAAAGAGTAGCTCCCTTTTTTTTATGGAGTCTAACATTCAAGGATAACTCTGTCAAATATTAGCTGAACACAATTTGGGGAGCAGAGATTTTGGCAGCTCTCTATGACAAGAATGATGTCTTAAAGAGAATAGTTGGGGTCACTGGACAGGTAAATAACTGTAGCATTCAAGAACTGAAAAGTTAGCAGACCCTGGGAAAAGAGAGAAAGATTTTCAGAATTACTATATTTTGAGATTTAAGTATTCAGTTTTCAACAACAACAAAGAAAAAAAAAAATTGCAAGTTTTACAATAAACAAAAAGTGGGAAGTAAGACTCATTAAAAGGAACAAAATGATTTTGTAGAAACTTATTCCCACAGAACCTATCTCTAAAAATATATATTTAAAATAAGTGTTTTAATGTTCAAATGACTAAATAAAAACATGGGTAAATAACTAAAAGAAATCAAGAAAATGACATATGAAATTCTAAATTTCAGAAATTCTCAAGCTGAAATGCACAATAACTGAAATTAAAAAAAAATGCTGGAGGGATTAACATCAAATATGAGCAGGTAGAAAAAAGAAGTAGTGAATTTGTAGATAAGACAACTGAAATGACTATATCAGGAGTAGGAAGAAAGAGGGATAAAGAAAAGTGAACAGAATCTAAGAGACATGTGGGAGACCATCAAGAGGACCAACATGCTCATGTGGGAATTAACACCAGAAGGAGAAGAAGATGATACAAATAAAGGGGCAGACACTGCATTTGAAGAAATAATGGCCGAACAGGCCTACAGTTTGATGAAAGACAAGAATCTACACATCCAAGAATCTCAATAAACCCTGAATAGGGTAAACTCAGAGACTCACATGGAAATACATTGTAGTCAGACTTGTGAAAACCAAAGACAAATAAAGAATCTTGAAAGTAGCAAGAGATGTGACTGACTAGACTTAAAGAATCCTCAATAAGGTATCTATTTTAATCACAGTGGAATAAATTTCAATTAATAACAAAATAAAAATTGGAAAATTCACAAATATGTGCGAGCTAATGATATACACTTAAATAACAACGGATCCAAGAATAAATTACAAGGGAAATGAAAAACTATTTAGAAACAAACAACAACAATGACAAACCATACAAAAAATTGGATGAAGCAAATGTACACTCAGTTGAAAATTTATTACTAGGAATGCCTATATTAAAATAAGAAATTTAAAATAAAAAACCTAGTTTTATGATCTTAAGGAAGAATACAATGAAGAGCAAACTATATCCAAAACTAGCAGACAGGAGGAATAAAAATTTAGAGTGGAGATAAATAAAATAGACAATAGAAAAGTAATAGATTCAATAAAACCAGAAGTTGATTCCTTGAAAAGTCAACAAAATTAAAAAATCTTCAGCTAGACTGAATATGAAATAGAGAGAGAAGCCACAGATAAATAAAATGAGAAATGAAAGTGAAAATGTTACTACTGACCTTACAGAAATGAAAAAGACTATTAAGACAACACTAAGAACAGTTATATGCCAAGAACGAAATAACTAGATAAAATATACAGATTCTTGGAAACACACAAACTACCTAAATGACTCAAGGTGAAAAGGAACAAACTAGATGTTTAAAAATAGACCCAAATGGAAATGTTCAATTGATTTTCAAATAAATTGTCAAGCTAATTCAAAGGTGAAAGGATAGTACTTTAATTATGTGGTGGTGTAAAAAGTATATATTCACTTAAAAATTAAGTCCTTAATTCACAACACACACACACACATTCAAAATTGAATATAGAACTGAACATAACAATTAAAACTAAAAATCTTTTAGAAAATATACAGGAGTAAATATACAGAGTCTGACAGTGAAAGTGAAAGTCACTCAATCATGTCTAACTCTTTGTGACCCCATGAACTATACAGTCTATGAAATTCTCCAGGCCAGAATACTGGAGTGGGTAGCCGTTCCCTTCTCCAGGGGATCTTCCCAACCCAGGGATTGAACCCAGGTCTCCCACATTGCAGGTGGATTCTTTACCAGCTGAGCTACCCAGGAAGCCCAAGAATACTGTTGTGGGTAACCTATCCCTTCTCCAGGGGATATTCCTGACCCAGGGATTGAACTGGGTCTCCTGCATTGCAAGTGGATTTACCATCTGAGCTACCAGGGAATATTAAGTTTGTTTTTGAAACCTAACATTTAATATTTTTACCCATTGGAACTCAAATATAAACTTGTCAGTATTAAGCTGGATTTAGAGCTGAAGAAAAAGGGAAAACTGGAGTTTAAAAGAATTGAATCAGTAATTTCAGAAAGTGATACACATTAAGTTATATATAGAATAACTATAATATTAGGTATATCTAGGTTAAATATTCATCCAAATGTAAGATGAATTCAGAAATGACAAAATGATAAAATATTTATTATGAGTGTGAGAAAATAGAGCAAAACCACATGCTTACCTCAAACTCAAAATTTAATTTCTTGGAAACCTCGTGGTGAGATAATTCTTGGTCAACAAAATGAAACTTTTGAAGAAAGGCAAAAGGCAAATTTGTCATGAAGTTACTGAAGGTGAAGCTCCAGGGCTCCACATGGGCAAAGATACTTAGTATGGTGTTGCAAACAGTCCTAGCATTTGTTTACGTCAGGGATCCCCAACATGGACCAGATCCCGGTCTGTTAGGAACCAGATTGCACAGCAGGAGGTGAGTGGTGGGCTACTGAATGAAGCTTCATTTGTATGTACAGCCATTCCCCATAAGTCACATTACCACCTGAGCTCTGCTTCAGATCAGCCGCAGCATTAGATTCTTATAGAAGCGTGAATCCTATTGTGAATTGCATACATGAGGGATCTAGTTTGCACGTCCCTTATAAGAATCATCCCCAAACCACCAGCACTCCACCCCAACCTCATCCATGGGAAAATTGTCTTCCAGGAAACAGGTTGCTGCTGCCGAAATGGTTGGGTATTGCTGATTTAGGTGGCCACCTGATTAAGAGGAGTCCCAATATGATTTACAATTTAGGCCTACAGTTCTCAGAAATAGGCATAAAGAGCCTTAGGAAACAAATGAGCATATAAAGGAGTTGCAAGTACTTTAAGTTTCTTTTGCTTTTGGAAAACATTTCACAGTGTCCCTCCTCTGCAGTCTCAACAAAATGTTTGTAAATTGGTTTTGCTTTGTTTCAGAGTGTGTGCTTTTTAAAATCACTATTTTCATTTTCCCTTGTCTAGTCCTAAAACCAAACATTCAATGCCTTCTTGATTTTATGGCCTGGTTTTGTTGACTCTTGTCTCTGGGGTCCCACTGTGATCCTGAAAATGCCGAGTGACTTGGATTCTAGGGATGGAAAAAGCTTTGTTTAAGCTTTATTTAACCTACTCAGCTCACCAGAGTTGGATAGGCATTTCTCAAATACTCTTCTCAATAAACTCAATAAAAAGGGTTATATAGCCCTTGAGCAATTAATGGTAACTTTATGCCAGCCTGCATAAGAATCCAATAGAGAATTGTAATATGGCTCTGTCAGGACCTTTTTACACACGCCTCAACCTGCTGCAGTCTGAACAAATGTAGGAGAATGGTTCTGAGGCTTCAATTTATTTTGGTTTAGCTTCCTTTTTGTTTTATGAGCCATAGTTGCAAAAAATCACTCTTCCATCTAACGTAATTTTGTTGTCTGTTCCCTAATTTAATACTTTTCCTTTTGTTGTTTCTAATAGATTTAGTTTACAATTCTTTGTGCAATATGGAAATAATTTGAGATGTTCCTTGCCATTCATAAAAACACACTTTGTCTCTTTTATTTTTTTGTCATTGAAGAATCTGAATTCACGCATTACATAAGACATTGACTGGCAAGGTTTGATCTTAATAAGCATAGACTTAACAATTGGATGGTATTAAATTTCAGTTACAACATTTGAGATGTGCTGTAAAGAATGGCAGCACAGTATTCCCTGGAAGTGCCTCAGTGAGGGATCGCATAATAACCAGAAATTCCAAAGCCTGTTTCCCTCACATAAGTAAGTTTTAAGAGATCTTGCTACCAAAGGTTTCTGGCCTATGTACTGAAACAAGTTCTTTAAAATGTATACCAGAAAATGTTCAGATTTGGGATGTGGGAATAATGGAGAGACTTTGAAAATGCGAGATTTCATCTACAGTGAGAAGAAAAACATGTTTTTTTAAAGTGATATTTACAGAACTTTTGATGAGTGGATAATTCTCTCCTTATGAACTTATTCAAATAGTTGTGTTTGATTATGAATATGAACTTTAATGAGCTAAAGCTGGGAAAAGATTACACATCTGCAGAAAAATTAAAAGGAGTT